CGCAAACGATCCTTCCTCACAGTTTAATGGCTATTATGGATATTAAATCGACCGTTATCTTAACGATGACAATTGAAAAATTGGCATCACGGAAATATAAATATACTTTTATAATATGTACTTTCCACGCAAACAAAAACGTTAAATTGAAAGTAATTGATTCGATATATAAAATTTATAAAGATTATACGAATTGATGGATCGACTACAATTGTAATTCTTTGAAATTAATACGTCACAATTTCGATATTCGTTTTACAAGTAATTGCATATTTATAAAATTCAAAATTATATAATCTGTTAATAATCTGTTGAAAAGGATTATTTTCTTTTTCTTTTTTTTTCTTTTTTGCCCCGTTTAAATGAATAAATTAGCTCGAAGAATTAATATTGAATTAAACAGCGAAAGATTTCTTCAAGAAATTGTTTCCCTGTGATTCGAGACTCGAAACACTCGAAAGTTCTTGGATAGGAAGGAAGTTTCTTGAATAAATCAAAATTTCCGCCAAGAGACAAACAAGAGAAGGAAGAAGAATAAAAAGCATGCAAACGGACAAATCCTTTAAACTTGATTTAATAAACCTCTCGACAGGGACGAGAAAGAAGGATGAAAGAATAAAGGAAATGAGCAAAAGAAAGCGGAAGCTATGGGATAATATTATTCCTTTCCGATTGTCCCCAACGTTTTCTAACGACGTCCAACAATAACAACGTTATATACCCCGTCTTTGCAACGATGACAATAACGATTCGGGTATCCAAACGGGCATGCACCCTGAATTACAGAGTGCGGTTTCCGCTCTTGTTTCCTCGCTGCCGTTATCGTTTGCTCCAACGGTCTTCGTTCTCGCGACGTAAGAATCGTTCCAACCACATTGCCCGAGTTTAGACACGGTCTACAACAAGGAACGATATAACGATGAACGAAAAAGAAGAAGAAGAAGAAGAAGAAGAAGAAAAAGAAGAGGCGTTCCATCGATTTCTTATTTTTACTTACGCCAAAGAGATAGCTCATCCTGTAAATGGATCAAGTGCACGGAACGTTTCCCTCGATCCAACTAGTATCGATAAAAGTTCGAACACTAGTTGGAAAGTTTGGGTTGCGCTTTTCTATGCTGCGCTCGAAGCGCATCCCTTTGAGATTTGTTTCGTTTTCTGATTAGACTCTGGCGCACAGGCGAAAGTAGCCACTTTAAAACGACGAAATCGGATCGATGTATCCGAGGAGGAAGGAAAAAGGGGGAAGGAAACGCGACGGATAACGAAGTTTTTCGAGGACGACGTCCCGACGCGATCCCGGTGCTTAATAAACCATCGAAAGCACGAAAAGTTGGCGGATCTCTCGAGGAATCTCGTCGTCCCTCTTTGTCCGAACAGGTTTAGAAAGAAGGAGCAAAGAGACTGTATGGAATACGTAAACTCATCCGGAGAAAATTTCTGGATTCGTGATCGTGCGCGAGGAAAAATCTTCGCGCGGTGAAGAATGCTCGAACTTGGCGGAAATAAATTAGGAGAGGAAGGTTGGTCAAGTGGTGAAAAAGGAACGGAGGGGGGGGAGCAGGAATTTAAAAAAGCAGGGAGAGCGTGGAAGCGAATACGGACGGATGGTTTGCTCGCAATGGGACCGGCAAAATTTGCCAAGCGGCCAAGAGAAAATCGCGATGATTATACGGCGCGATGCGACGCGATGCGCGAGAGAAATGAGAGAAAGGAGGGGAGGGGAGGAAGGAAGGACGGAAGGAAGAGGGAAAAAATATTCCATAAAGCGTAATGGAGGGCTCGCAAATATTTATCTTTGGGTAGGTCGGGAGCCGCGGGAGAAGCGCAAAGAGCCATGCGAAAACGTTCCAAGCCGGATGGCTCTTGTCGCGGCACAGAAACGTGGAAAGTTCTCCTGACACGATTATGGCGCTCGGTGACCAGAAATAATTTCATTAGTCGCCCCGTAAACTCATCCACCAGTTCGTAAAGAAACCATACGCGTGGGAAATATGTACTTGGGCATATATAATCGCGTATCCGCGGACGCCTTAAGCCCCTTCCACGCTCCCACGAGAACTCTAATCACGGCTACTTAAGTTCCCGGCTGCATAGACGCGTACATCGAGAACCGCCGCCTCTATCAGCATCCACGCGTCTACTATGCGAGCGCACGCCGCCCTCTCCGTGTCGGAGAGCGAATGAAATGATTCGCGCCACTGAGCATACTTGTTAACGAGCGAAACGACGCTTAATGGATGTACGTCCATGATATTCCGCTTGTGGATTGCCCGAAAAAGAACGTTGCTCCAAGAACTTTCTCCTCTTTTTTTCGACTTCTTCTTGTTATTTTTTTTTTTTTTTCAGAAGTAGCAAATAGAAAATCGAAAATTTCTTCAGCCGCGGGAAATGTATGTAGCGTAATATCCAATATCCGCGTGACACTAATCTTCCACAGGAGCAAGAAGAAGAAAAGGTGCAAGAAAGAGGGAACAAAATTTCTGACGAGCGAGCGTTTCTTCGAGGCTCGTTGCGGGTACCGAAGTTAACCACGGATATCCTAAATTTCGGTTGCATAAGCTTCGTCGCAAAAACTCTCTCCCTCTCTCTTTTTCTCCTAACCTTCCTTCTCCCCTAACCCAGCTGGATGTCGTCTAAAAGGAACGACAAGGAAGATATAGGCGAGAGAGAAAACAAAGAGGATTAAAGCAAGAGATCCGCAAGTGGATGGCGTACAATCGTACGATAGAAACTAGAGTACAAGGGACAAAGAGATCGTAGACACTGTTCTGGAAGGAAAGAGATAGAAGATACAAGAGAACCGTAGAACGTAACGAAAAGAGACGAGAGAAACCGAGGAGGAGGGATCTTGCAAAACATACACAGCTGAAGCTGACACATCCTCCGCCACCAGTCTACTGGCTTTTCCGCAAGGTAGAAAAGGACGAGCAAATCTAGACGCTTACTTAGTGACACACGCAGCATTTTGCTGTCGGGGTTGAACTCTTCCCTCCTCTCTCTCTCTCTTTCTCCAAAAACCCATTCCCTTCCAACCCCCTCTTTGACCGTGTTAAGCCTCTATTTCACTCTTACCACCATTCTCGAATGGCATTGTATTAAACCGTGGCTCGTGCTGCGACTTGACACGAGTTATCTTGCCTTCCTTCCATCCCACTCCACACCATTCCCCTTTAAGCTACCATTCTCCCTCTTTCATTCCTTGTCCATCCCTCATCTTCTTATATATTTTACCATAGAATATCGTTGGATCAATTTAAACTACGGGTCACAAATTTTCCAAGTGTTTCAAATTGATCGATCATCGATATCCACCGAATTTCCACTCCCCGTCGCACTATCGTTTATCATTTCGTGCCGCTGAATAGATGCTAATATCCTCACTCTCGATAACATCGGCGGCGTCCAATCGCCGCCCGCATACACTCCCATAGAAAATAAATCGTTCCCGCGAATACGTTTATACACACCCTCGAACATTTCGGTTGTGCCACGCGTGTCTTACAACCCCCTCCCCCTTGATATTCGAACAGAATTTCTCGAAATATGGATTTTGACGCGGAGAAGTTCTTTCGAATCCTTTATTACACTCTGTGTCCTATCCTCCGTGTGTTCGCCGTGACGATCCCCTTTCTCGTTTCTGACCTGTTGTCGAGTTTCGAGACGAGCTCCCTTAACTGTCAGCAACCGCTTTCAACCCTTATCAGACGCATCTGATTCTGACAAGCGATTCGAATTTTCCGCCTTCCCGTCGCGTCCTCGTCTGCCATCTTTAAAGTCGTAACGTAGCTTATTACGCGTTCAAGAATCCCTCCCAACTCGTCAACATTCACGTGCACACGGAATCCCGGACCACTTCGAAAAGAAGAAGAGACCGGATCGTTCGGAGGAGTATTTTGTCACCTCGGTTAACGAGACGTTCGCAACGTTCTTGAGAATGTCGTTAAAATTAACGATTAAGAACGATTATTTCCGAGTATGGCCGGGGGTAATGTAAATAGGAGGGGGCCGATTAAAGAGACGAATCCTCGTGACTTTTTCAACAGGCGCAAGCTATGCGCAAACTTTACGATGAGGCGGTGCACACAATATCTCGAATTAACGAGGCTCTTCTATGTATACAGGTATTATTACGAGTCTAAGTAATGCGACGCGTTTAAGCCCGCAGTTACGCCAGCCATGCAAAAATCTTTTGTTTTCGCCCTGAAGCGTTTATCTGCGCAACGTTTAATGACGTAACGTTCCAAGTTTTTAATTAACGATTACGAGATACATTTACACGCCAGCGAGTCAATTCTTTCGTCCGTTAATCTTTTTTCCTTGCCTGTTTGTTTTTTATTTCCTCCCCCTTTTTCTTTTTCCTTTTCTTTTTTTTCTTTTCTTTTTTTTTTTTGAAAATTACAGAGAACAAAGTTGCACGGACACAACAACTGGTAGATGGTAGGTGAAACAGACGTTGCGCGATCGTCGCTTACGTATTTATATGCTCGCGATACTGTAACACGGGGCGAAATCAGCAAGAAGAAAAAGTGGCATAGTTCTCGCGAGAACGGATGATATTTTTCTCGGTTGAAACTTTTCTTTAGAGACGGTGGACCAATTTTTCTTCGACCGCATCATTCCGTACGCTGAACCGAGCGTTATTCTCTTGACGGTGAGGCAAAAGCGTACATCGAAGCTAATGGCGCGATTCTCGGTGATTCGTCTCCACCCCGACACGTTTCTCCTTCCTATACGGCTTTTCCTTTTTTTCTTATTATTCTTGCTTTCCGCGCCGTAATTTAAATAACCTAAATTTCGAAATCCATTCGAACGAAGAAAAAATCTCCTCCATGTTTCACTCTTTCGTGAACAATCGATTCCTTTATGATTCCTCTATCCTAATCCAGACTTAAACTTTGGCCCAGCCCATTTATTTTTTACGTCAAATTACGAATTCGTTAACGGATTCCATTCTCTCGGAAACATCTCGGTTATCAAATTGTTGGCAAAAACGAATACTTGATTAAATTCTTATTGGCATCTTGTACGAAGACGTAGAATATTATAAGGCGATATGTAGGATGACCTTGAAAAAGAATCGCCTTTTACAACGCATTAAGCAAAGCGATAAGGGAATAGATTCTATGAAATGCTCCATAATCTTTGAATGACGCCTTTATGTTTCACGCGATGTATAAAAATATCTGTCACTGGTCGAAACGGGGGGTTTGCATTATTTCTCCGGCAACCCGTGCGAGAAACACGCGACCGATGCACAAGCGGTTCACTTATTTATCGTTGCCCCGAGCAAACTGATCGTGAAACATGTTGTGAATTTTTCACGGGAAGATCGTTCTCTCCAATCCTCCCTCTTCCACCCCGCCCTCCGCTCCACCCTGCTACACACCCTTTAGAAATTCCTACAAAAGGCGTAACACCAGCAACCTCGATTCTCGTTTAAAAAATTGAAAGACTATTTCTCCGTGGTTCTCGAGTGCCTCTCGAAATACACGTTGGTTGAACGGTGCACAGCAAGATGTTGTCTCTGCCGTTCGTCGTGCTTTTACTCTTTCGTCAATTCTCGCCAGCCATTGGGTTCAACATTCTCGGAATTTGTCCCAGCGCGAGCTACAGCCACCAGCAACCCTTTCAAGCATTGATGAAAGCTTTGGCGGCCCGTGGACACAACGTTACCATGATATCAACCATTCCGTCAAAGGTAAGTGCGATTCTTCCCCTCTTTCTTCTCTCCCTTTTTTCCTTCTCTCCCTTTCTCCCTCTTTGTATTTCATCCTCTGGAAAATTTTGACTCCCCAAAGACACCACTTAATCGATCTCTTCCGATCCGACTCGGAGAGTGAACGGAGAAACAGTTTAACAGTTACGGAGTTGCAAACAGTTTTAACCATTAACGGCAAAGTATGACAATTTACACGCAATCACGTTAGAAGTTGCGTCGTTTATCAGCGGTAGAGAAAGTTGGCGTAAAAAAGGCGCGAATATACTTGTAACAAGATTATAACGACGGTTTAATAATTCAATAATATCGCCGTAGACCGTAGAGAAAAGTTGGAAAAGATATCCGGGATAGATGTTTGACTCCGTGCTCCACTTGGGCCACGCGCACCTCTCGTGCCTTCTTCCCACGTTCACCCGCCAGTTCATTTTTACTTCTCTTTCTCTTCTTGTCTCGCTCTACTTCCACTACTTTTTCCCAGACCCGATCCCCTTTCGTGTCCCCTCTCCTTTACCCTCTCCATAAACTCCGGTTCAAAGTTACGCAAACTTCGTTCGGCTTCAATTTACCCTTACTAACATTTCTTCTCGTTAAACGCATCTCTTTGTGACCCGATGCTCGCCGTTCCTCGCTTCCTCTTCTTTTTTCTTTTTTTTTTTTTTTCCCTCCTCCATTCGTCCCTCCCGAAAAGAAATCAACAATTCGACGATAGATCGGGTAAGTTGAGAATATAAGAGAATTTTCGAGAGAGAGAGAAAGAGAAAAAGAGAAACATTGGAATTCATGATTTTAATACGGAATTTATGACCGTCAATTTAATACGCGTAGAAGAATAAGAATTGGAAAGTGGGACAATCTTTGAACTTTTTATGATAAGTGGCTCGTGAATTTTAGAATATTCCGTATCCATCGTATTCATTTCTAAAATTTTCTCAAAACTTCCAATTTTGCTACTGTAGATCTGATCAGCGGAACTTGTAATCAAATCAATATGTTTAATAACAATTTAACTCTCGATATTTCCAAACGACGATCATAATCGTTTTAACCTATTATCAAAAGATTCGATTTAAGCATTGTGGAAAATAACTTTTGATATTAAATTTTGTTCTTATATGTAAGAACATTTAATTATATGAATATAAACTAATCGAATTAAGATATAATCCGATACTTGGTGATTAATATTTCCCCATTTTATTTTTAACTAAACTTAAGACCTAATAAACTAATCCAGACCGCTAGATATTAAAAATCTCGTTTTTGACAACCATATAAATAAACGAATAAATCTTGCAGAAGTCGATAAAGAACTACGAGGACGTCGATTTGTCGTTTTCCTATCGAAAACGAGATTGCACCGGTCTAAGGTAAGGTTATTTCGCACGTTACAAGAGAAATCTCTCGTAATGCTAGATCCGTTCAATTATCGATGTTTCACAGGCACATGGGGGCGTTCACCCTTTTGCACAAGAACATGCGAGAGGCGAACGAGTTGTGCGAGGAACAACTGTTCAGCACGGCCATCACGCACCTAATTTCGTAATACAAATATTCTCATTCTATTTAAGAATACGGTAGGGCGTCGACCGAACGAGAACAAAAACATTCATTTCGTAAACTCGTTAAAGCTGGTGTAGTAGTCGAAGAAAAGTGCGCCAACGCAATTTTCTGCCTTGAGCCGTAGGAAATTACCAGCGTTCTGCCATCGACTGTTCCCCGCCATTTCCATTTACGCTTGCGGGAAGTAAAAACTGCATCGAATGAAATTATAGTAATTCCATCGCGTTACAACTTCATCGATTCAAATCATCTAATCACGAAATCAATGGAGAGGCGTTCCTTCCTTCTTCTTTTTTTTTTTTTTTCCTAGAAGAACAAAACCTTCGATGCTGTGATTATAGAACAGTTGTGGTACCAGTGCTATTACGCCCTCGTCAAACATTACAATTCGCCGGTTCTAATCGGATTCTTGAGCGTTGGCAATCTTCCCTACGTGATGGACTCGGTTGGTAAGCGTGACACTTCAATAATATAAAAAAAAAGGGAAAAATCGAAACGGCAAAATTCGAATATTGGAGTAACAGAGTGAGGCAATCGAACGATCTAACAATCGTTCTGCTCGCTTTCTCTGCGGTTTTTGTGCCCTGCTCGGTCGGAATGTCGTTAGTGAGCCGGAAATTGACGTAAATTGTCGATAAAGTAGAAAATGCGAGCAATCGGAGGTGACCACGCGTCGTAGAAAAGAATGGATACCCCTTTAGTGCTTTAACTTGTACCGATTTCGTATCAGATGAGAATCAAGGGGACACACTATCCGACTATTCTTATTTTTAGGGAATCCGGACGATCCCCTGTTGAATCCCGACATGGCTTATCCTTTCACCAACAAAATGAGCCTGAACGAGCGTATTTGGAATATTCTCTACACAACGTGGACCAGGATATATTATAAATACTGGCATTTGCCGAGAGCGCAGGAGATCGTTAACAAGTGGATGCCTGACGTTTCGATCGAGGACATCGATAGAAACTTTAGCCTAGTGATATTGGGAAACAATCACGTATTCGGATATCCGAAACCGCTGCTGCCAAATGTAATCGAGGTTCATAGCCTTCAAATCGCGGAGAAAAGCGAAACTCTACCCAAGGTAATCGATCGAATTCCTAAATTTCTCCATCGAAATAAAATTGCAAGTGCTGCTCGTCGATAGTGAATCACGTATCCTTCATAGCGCTTTCAATTCACGAATCTTATCCCTTCTTCCCCTAGATTCGCGAGACGTAAAAATAACAGCGTGACTTGATTCATCGATCGTCCGAAGGACGGGTCAACGGACGATATTGCGAAACTTATATTCAGTCAACGATTACAAGTATTACTCCTTGCGGGACGCGGCAACGTTATTTCACGCAGTTTTAGCACGGCAGGGGATAGAAATAGGTATACCGCGAGCAAGATGAGAATGATTTCTCCGGGGGAAAATACGTAGCGCTCTCGCAGGGTAACCGATATAGGGGAAAGTTTACCTACGGCTCGACATTGCGACGCGAAAGTAAAGGTCATTGCTATTTACCCTCGCTCTATCCACCCTCCACCCACGTGGCTACGAGGGAAAATATTTTTCCACAGGTATTTTCCAGGCCTCCCTCGTTTTGTCTCCCCGAGACACAAGAGGATCTTCCTTGTGTCCTTTCTTTCTGCCATCGATTCTTTCCGGACCGAAACTAACGTCGTCGCGCATCGACCACCCACGTGATTCGTGAATCGATCAAAATTATATACCCTTCCGAAACAGCGTTCGTGCTGATGTTGGAACATGTTTTACACCGATAGTATCCTCCGAAATGGAATCGCGCCCGTGTCACGTGGAATTAATGCGAGACACGAGACTCGAAACGTGATTGCTGTGCCACGTGCGCGTCCACTTCGCAGGAGAAACTTGCGGTTCTGCGCAATTAATGTGTAACAATGTCTTGTGCTCCACGTGAATTGTATATAAGTATTGTATTCGAACTATTTATATCTCTCTTTATAAAAGAAAATCGATCAAACGGAACAAATACTCGACGATATAAAAAATAAAAGAGGATGTGTTTTTAGATAATATAATTCTTCTTCCCTAAATCAAATCCTATATTCTAATGTTGGACGTCTTTCGAAGTTGGAATACATTTCACTTTCATATATCGTTCGTTAAGATCTAAATAACCGTGCTCTTAATCGTAGGACATTCAAGAATTCCTAGACAATGCGGAGCACGGGGCGATCTATTTCTCCCTAGGCTCGAATCTGCAAACTCATCAGTTGTCGATCGGCTCTTTGACCGCATTGTACAAGGCGCTCGGCTCTCTCAAGCAAAGAGTTCTATGGAAACACGGGGAAGACGTGGCCATTCATCCAGCCAACATCAAATTTGTGAAGTGGGCACCCCAGCAAGCGATTCTCGGTAAGGTCATCGAAGGTTAACTCTCCGCTTCCTCGCGGCCCCTTTGAACGCGAGCATAGATTGACCGCTTCGGGATACGTTCGTTTTATTAGACCGCCTCTTGGAAATCGTTCACGTGAACACACGAGAATCCAGTTATTATCCCAACGATGAAACGCCTCGATCCCCGTTAATGTGGGAATAAAAATGAAACGACACGACTTAATCGCGTCGTAAAAAAAAAAAAAAACATCTCTCGATGAATTTATTCCTTGATAAACCGATGAACGATGAATTGTGCTCGCTATTACATAATGCTTTCTTTGATTTCTTCCTCGAGATGCAAGAATTTTCTGAGATCATGATGCTTCCTCCCTCCCTTTTTTCTCCTCCTCTCTCTCTCTCTCTCTTTCTCTTCTCTTACTTTTTTCTGTCTTTCTAAGATAAGAGAAACTTCTTACGTAATTGTTCTCGTTGCTCGTAAGTACGTGTTTGTTCGTTAATTATCGCATTTTCGTTTGATTTACATACACAACTCGTCAAAACTCGCCGCGCGACGGTCTGTTCGTTAAACAGGATTCAACGGTAAGCAGAGGTTGGCGCAAATACTTAATGAAGTTGCCGCCGACTTTGCAGGCCCTTTCATTTGGAATGGATGTTAATTTTCTCGGGCAGCCAAGTGTTCCATAACGACCTCGTCCACGCTCATTTTTAAATGATCAAATGTAAAGTGTGACTCATATGCGATGTAATTTCATCACGCATTCTCTCTCTCTCTCT